CCCTAAACCCCTAAACCCTAAGGCTGTTCTAGGATGGTTGGTCCCTGATTGAAACAGCACGAAAGAAAGGAGTCCCCAGAGCTTTTGGGTAAGGGGTCAAGACTGAGGCCTTCATGAGATTTTAGGGTTTAGGGTTTAGGGGATCCTGAAATAGAGACCAAAACCCCCCAAACCCTTCCACACTTCATCATCTTTCTGCGTTTAAACCCTGAAAGTCACGACAGCACCCAAAACCTTAAACGCCTAACACGGTTTGGGGCTTAGGGTTCAGTGGTTCAGGAGCCGTGTGGCGGCACCGCGCATTGTTGTCAAACTCGGGCTTAAACTGTCCTGGCTCACCTCCAGCTGGGTCCCGCTCCAGGTTTCAGTGGGAGAAAGGGTTTAGGGTTTATAGGGCTCAGGGTCCCTATTCAGAGCTTAATTGGAGGTTCTAGGGTCCCTAAACCTGAACCTTGGGTGTATAAGGCTTATAGGGTCCCTAGTTTGGGTTTAGGGCCCCCTAAACCGTAAACGCCAGACCGCTACGTGAAGATACAAGGCCGGGCAAGGCGGGATTACAATTGTACTTTGCTAATTTTCCCGTGTACCTCAGAAGTGAGGTCTAGGTACCACAAACCATTCTTAGGTGTTGAGTTCATAAGCAAAAAAAGTGAGCACTTTCAGTTCTGTAAGCTTATCGCAAAAAGTACACATTCAGCTACTAAGCAGTCAGAGCAAAGGAATTAAGGCCCGAAACTCTACTGCTTGGGCACTAGGATCCCCGGGCCCATGACCCTGTCAGCGGTTGTGCACATGTAGCTATGGGGTGTCTCCGTTGCCCTAAACCCTAAACCCTGTCACAGTAAACCCTGTCACCCAACGCTGAACCCCTAAAGGCTAGAACCTGAACCATAAACCCAAAACACTGCAACCAAGCGTGCAGCATATAAAGGCCAAGCCAAGAGAGCGTCCCCTTTTAATCCCCAAGCGCTACTGGACTTGATACCCTTGCAAAAGAATGCAATCTTATAGCTGTTTCTTGCGTGTTAAGTAACAAAAATAGGCTTTACCTGTTTCCTACTTGTTTAAACTACCCCAAAAGCAGAACCTATGTCCAAGTACCCCTAAGGAAAGGCTTTAGAGCAGGGGAGCCCTGAACTCAATCTCGAAGACCACAATGACCACTACCCATAGGGTTTAGGGCCTAGGACTAGAGTTTAGGGGTTAGGGTTTAGGGTCTAGGGTTGTGATGAAAGGCACTCATAATCATTTCCTCAAAACGGGCTTCGGGCCTGTATAAATAGAACCGGACATTCTGTTTGCTTTGGCTCAGGCTCCTGTAAAGGTTCTGTGAAGGATCTCGGATTTGTGATTGTGGGGCGCTTAAGAGCAATCAAGGGGATTTAAAGGGCATGTTATCCCCTAAGACTCCAAGTATACAAATAGTACCTACTTTGGGGTCTAAAGTCTGTAGCTGGTATCTACTTCGGGCGCTTGCTTTGGAGTCTTAGGCTACGGCACAGTATAGCATCCTTATAGCTTACGTCAGGGTAAAGCAGATTACAGTTCAGCCCTAAACCCTAAACCGTAAACCCTAAACCTAAAACCCTAAAATCCAAAAACCCTAAACCCTAAACCCTATACAGTTCAGAATTTTGACGCTCACGATTCTGGCTGGAAAGCCATGTCCGAACGTCAATGCATGGTGGCATGCTGGAGCCACGTGCTTTAATGTAGGGGCCTTAATAATTAGAATAGGGTTTTGGGGGCTCCGCACAATAGTTATAGTAGAATATACCCCCAAACCCCATTCTAATCATTAAGACCCCTATATTAAGTTCACGTGAACCTGCGAAGCTCTTCACATGCAGCTACGAAGGTCGTTATGTTGCAGGCTTATAGCGATAGGTTGAGCATTCACAACAGGGAACCCTAAGAAGGGTAGGTTCTTTAGGGTCCAGGCAAGTCCTAAACATTGACAAAACCCAAAGTCCTGGACCCGAAAACCCTAAGCCCTCGACCCG